CTGGGTGTGCGGGACGCATGCGGACGGTAGCACTGGGACCTTCGATGGGGCCCCCTATGGGGCCACGAAACGCTGTAACGGGTGTGCGGGACGCATGCGGACGGTGGAGAGGAGGAGGGGGCAGAGGAGGAGGGGAGAACGCGAGGACCTTCTTCAAAACGAGGACCCAGCACCACAGGATGGTTGGGAACTAACGAACAACCTTGCGAACATCAATGAATATGGCCTCTCCAGGTTTCGTGGGCCCCCAAGCCCAAGAGAGCCCAAGAGGGCCCCAAGACGGCCCAAGATGGCCCCAAGACAACCCAAGAGACGCCCAAGACGACCCAAGACGGCCCCAAAACGGCCCCAAGAGGGGCCCAAGAAGGGGACCAGGAACCAAAAAGTCCAGCCTTCAGCCCCAAGAGGCCCCCAGGAGACCCCAAGAGGCCCCAATGGGCCCCCAAGAGGCACCCCGAGAAGCCCCAAGAGGCCCCCAAGAGACCCCAAGAGGCCCCAACACGGCCTCCAAGTGGCCTGACAACTGCCTCCCAGAGGCCCCCGAGAGGCCAACCACGAGAGCCCAACAAACATCCCTGAGGCCTCTGACCCACCCCCCAGGCACTGTCAGAGGCGTGCTTAGATCTCCAGTAACTGCTTCACAATATGTTTACTTCGCGCGCGCGAGGCGGCCCCTAGGGGTCCCCGGACGTACCCTGGCCAGGTCCCCAGCAGGGTCGGGCCAGGGATGGTCTTCCTCCTGGGCGCGGCTTCCAGGTGCCCCAGAGGGACCAAAGAAGGCCCCAAGAGGCGCCCAAGACGGTCCAAGAAGGCTCCGAGTCGTCGAACGATCGGCACCACATTGACAACAACACCCCGGCAAACGACAGTGGCGAGGCAAAATGGGCCGGCGGAATGAGCGAAGCGATTACATAACTTCCAATCGCCGCAAGCTCTCGTTCCTTCTGGGGGTCGGCGGAATGGCGTAAGCCACTTGAGTACATAGCACCCCGCAGTCGCGGAGAAGAGTGAGGGGGCGGCGGGGACGTTGGCAGTCTGCGAGGCTCTGAAGAAGCCCGCCGCAAGCGCCTAACCTCATCCAGTGTATAAGAACCCCCCGGTGTTATCGTAGCACCGCGCACACAAAAACAGGGGGGAGCCAAACGATAACTTTAGCACCGCGCTAGACAGACAACAAAAAAACACTGGGGCAAGAACGCAAGGACCTTGACATTCGTTTTGGAAATTTGCAAGAGCTTCACGGGTTGAAGGCGGCTTGTGTTCAAAATGTGGCTCCAGCCTTAGCGCCGCGCACTTTCGATTCAAAAAGTTGCACCAGCTTCACAAATAGAGTGCGGCTCGCTGTCAACATGCAGCTCGCGTTCTGAACCTTATGCGCGCGGCACTAGGCCGAGAGTGACATCATCCTCCAGGTGCCAGGATAGCGCTTCCCGATGCGGGAAGCTTCATCCTTTTGCCGAACAGAGGGGGCGTTATAAACTGGATGAGGTTAATTTTTACAAATGCTACAACGGGCCCGCCGCAATCGCCGATTTTCGCGGGTGGGTCGCGGGTGGGTCGCGGGTGGGTCGCGGGTGGGTCGCGGGTGGGTCGCGGCTTGGTCGCGGCTAGGTCGCAAGTGGGTCGCGGGTGTGTCGCGGGCCGGGTCGTGGGGAAGACGACGACGACGACGACGACAACAGCAACAGCAGCAACAACAAAAACAAGCACAACAACAGCAACAACAACAACAACAACCCCAATAGCAACAGCAACATCAACAGCAACCATAACACCAACAACAGCAGCAACAACGGCAACAACAACAACAACGACGACAACAACACCAACAACCACAACAACAACAATCACAACAACAACAACAACAACAACAACAACAACAACAACAAGGTTAAGGCCGGCATGGCCCCCCCGGGGTGCGGGAGCGGATCCGCCGGTTCCACCACCGTGGAGAAGGCCGGCACTGCCCCCCCGGTCAGTCCGAAGGGGGGGGGGGGCGAACAACACAACACAACATCCTAGGGCATCCTTAGGGAATCCTTAGGGAATCCCTAGGGAATCCTAGGGAATCCTTAGGGAATCCTTAGGGAATCCTTAGGGAATCCTTGAAAATCCTTTAAAATCCGTAGGGGGTCCTGAGGGAATCCTTCAGAATCCCGAGGGACTCCTGGAGGAATCCTTAGGGAATCCTTCAGAATCCCTAAGGACTCCTGAGGGAATCCTTCAGAATCCCTAGGGGCTCCTTAGGGAATCCTTGGCACACATTATAAGAGTGGTAGTGGTAGTGGTAGTGGTAGTGGTAGTCGTAGTAGTAGTAGTAGTAGTAGTAGTAGTAGTAGTAGTAGTAGTAGTAGTAGTAGTAGTAGTAGTAGTAGTAGTAGTAGTAGTAGTAGTAGTAGTAGTAGTAGTAGTAGTAGTAGTAGTAGTAGTAGTAGTAGTAGTAGTAGTATAAGTAGTAGTAGTAGTGGTAGTAGTAGTAGTAGTAGTAGTAGTAGTAGTAGTAGTAGTAGTAGTCGTAGTCGTAGTCGTAGTCGTAGTTGTAGTATTTGTATTAGTAGTAGTAGTAGTAGTAGTAGTAGTAGTAGTAGTAGTAGTAGTAGTAGTAGTAGTAGTAGTAGTAGTAGTAGTAGCAGTAGTATTAGTAGTAGTAGTAGTAGTAGTAGTAGTAGTAGTAGTAGTAGTAGTAGTAGTAGTAGTAGTAGTAGTAGTAGTAGTAGTAGTAGTAGTAGTAGAAGTAGTAGTAGCCCAAGAAATTGTAGTAGTAGTAGTAGTAGTACTAGACCTGGCAGTAGTGGGCGTACTACTACTAGCATTCGTAATAGTAGTGGTCGTAGTTGTATTCATAGTGATCGTAATACGGATACTAATACTAGTAGTAGTAGTAACAGTAGTAGCAGTAGCCGTACCAAGAATAATGATAATAGTCGTAGTAGTAGTCATCGTAATAATAGCACAAGTGGTATTCGCAGTAGTGATAGTAGTAGTAGTAGTAGTAGTAGTAGTCGTAGTAGTAGTAGTAGTAGCAGTAGTCGTAGTAGTAGTAATATCAGTACCAGTCGTCGCAACAGTTCTAGTGGCAGTGGGAGTAGTATTAGGAGAGTGTTAGTAGTAGAAATAGTAATAGTATCAGTAGTAGTAGTAGTGGTCGTAGTCGTGGCAGTAATAGTAGTAGCCGTGGTGGTAGTAGTAGTAGTCAGAATGACAATAGTGGTTGCTTTTGTAAAGCTAAGTGTAGAAGCGATAGCAGCGGTAGTGGTAGCGGTGGAAGTTGAAGTGGTAATCGTAGCAGTGATGGTAGCATTAGTGAAATTAGTAGTAGTAGGAGTAGTAGTACTAGTAGTTGTAATAGTAGTAGTAGTAGTAGTAGCAGTAGTAGTAGTAATGGTAGTAGTTTTCGTAGTGGTAGTAGTAGTTATAGTAGTAGTAGAAATAGTAGTAGTCGTAGTAGTAGTACTGGTAGTAGTAGTAGTAGTAGTAGTAGTAGTAGTAGTAGTAGTAGTAGTGGTGGTGGTAGTGGTGGTAGTAGTAGTAGTAGTAGTAGTGGTGGTAGTAGTAGTTGTAGTAGTAGTAGTAGTAGTAGTAACCGTAGTAGTAGTAGTAGTAGTAGTAGTAGTCGTAATAGTAGTAGTAGTAGTAGTAATAATAATAGTACTAGTAATCGTCGTAGTAGTAGTAGTAGTAGTCGTCGTCGTCGTCGTCGTAGTCGTAATCGTATCAGTAATAGTAGTGGTCGTGGTGGTAGTAGTAGTAATATTAGTCAGAATATTAATGGTTGTTGCTGTTGTAAACCAGAGTGTAGTAGAAATAATGTTGGCAGTGGTAGTGGTGGTAGTACTAGTGGGAATGGTAGCAGAGGTGCTATTAGCAGTAAAGTCAGCAGTAGTAGTAGAAGTAGTAGTAGTAGTAGTAGTAGTAGTAGTGGTAGCCGTAGTAGTAGTAGTAGTAGTAGTAGTAGTAGTAGTAGTAGTAGTAGTAGTAGTAGTGGTAGTCGTAGTAGTAGTAGTAGTTGTTGTAGCAGTAGTAGTAGTAGTAGTAGTAGTAGTCGTAGCAGAAGTAGTAGTAGTAGTAGTAGTCAGTTGTACCTAGTAGTCTTTAAAAAAAAAATGACTAAGGTTATACGTAGTAAGTATTAGTTTTAGTAGAAGAGTAGTAGTAAGTTAATAGTAGTATTAGTCTTCGTAGTAAGACGTATTAGTAAGATTAGTAGTAGTAAGTAGGAGTAGTAAGTAGTAGTAAGGAGCGTAGAAAATAGTAGTAGTGGTAGTAGTAAGTAGTAGTGATAATAGTAATAGTCGTAGTAGTATAGTAGTAGCAGTAAGTAATAGTAGTAATAGTGTAGAGGTAGTAGTGGTAGTTGGTAGTGGTAGTTAGGTGGTAGTAGTAGTAGTAGTAGTAGTAGTCGTCGTAGTCGTAGTCGTAGTCGTAGTCGTAGCCGTAGTAGTAGTCGTAGTAGTAGTCGTGTAGTAGTAGTAGTAGTAGTAGTAGTAGTAGTAGTAGTAGTAGTAGTAGTAGTAGTAGTAGTAGTAGCCGTCGTGGCACACATTATAAGAATGAAGAGGATGGCGGGGGGGACGAGGAGGATCGGGAGGAGGAGGACGACGACGACGACGAGGGGGAGGAGGAGGACGAGGAAGAAGACGACCAGGAGGTGGAGGACGAAGAAGAAGGAGGAGGATGAGGAGGAAGAGGGCAAGGAGGAAGGGGAGGAGGATGATGACGAGGGCGAGGAGGATGGGGGGGGGAGGGGGCAGAGGAGGACGGAGGAGAAGGAGGACGAGGAGGACGGGGAGGAGGAGGGGGAAGAAGATGATGAGGAGGAGAGGGAGGAAGAAGAGGGGGGGAAGGAGGAGGACACACGCAAACCCCCTATAGGGTTGCGTTGTGTTGTGGTGTGTTGTTCGCCCCCCCCCCCTCCCATCTCCCCCCCAGGGGGGGGCTGCCCCGCCTGTATCAACAACAACAACAACAACAACAACAACAACAACAATCACAACAATAGC